GTCACGAAAACAATACTGGACAGCGCGTTTGCGAAGCCGGGGACTGCAAAACTACCCACTTGTCAGGGTTTTCAATAAGACTCAAAATTGGTTCATGAAAATCGACCCAATGAGCTGTCAGGAAAACAGTCCTGCGTCAAGTTAGCAAGGGAGTAGGCACGAGCCGTTGCAATGGCTTTGCCTGGTCTGTCGAGTTTAATAAATAGATGACCGAGAAAAGTGGCACACTGAACAGTAAGCAGTCATAGACATAATATAAAAGTTGAGGATCTACGACTTCACCTTCGAACAGCCGACGAGGATCCCGCTCGTCAAGTGTGAGGAGCTCACGGGCAGCCTTGCGGATTTTTGCGAGAACCAGTTTCACACGCCATACTTCACGTTTATTTCTTAGTCCATACTGACCGATGAGCTTTAATTCGGAATCCAAGCGCTCCTTCTCAAAAGGGCGGCGCGGAGTGGTGTAAGTTTTGCTAAATATCTTCGGCACTCTACTCATCTTAGGTAGAACTAATCACGCCAGTGCAGCAGTGCAAGTCACGCGCAAAAGTGGCCAGTTAAACAAAGCTTCACAGTGTACAGAGTTCACGTGGTTACCTGTTTAATTCAGTTGGTCGAATGATTCGAAGTCCGTTTTGAAAAAAGTGAACGTGTCCAAAGCTAAAATAATTACTAAAGCATGCTCAGAAAAGGCCTTTGAAGACGTTTAGTTGGCATGAATACTAACAAGTAGAGACAGTTTTGTTACTCTGCAGCTTCCTTCTGCTGATTCGCCTCGACATACTCCTGGTCTAGTCTGTTATTGTTCCCGCTCTCGCCCCAGAACCCTTCATCTTCACCAGTACCACGTCGGCTTTGGTGTTGAGGCTTGGCGTTGTTTTTGACCCTGTTCGTTAAAATAACCCTCTACTGGGGAATAAATGAGGTCAAAATCAAAAGTTTGAAGACGTTTTATAATCGACAGTGATGCTGAAACCAGCATCATCCCTTCTGGCGCAGAGGATTGGCGTTACACAAATCTGGCCTTTTCCTCTGGATAATAAATTTCCGTCCGATCCCTACCTCTGAATCCTTCTCTTTCTCCCTGAATACTGGCCACAGGCATCATTTCCGCGGGATCTTTGTGGTGGTTTATGTTCCTGCCCTCATTTGCTAGTTGCATTTCATCTGGCTGATTGCACGAAACTCTGCCTTCATGACTGGGCTACTACCATCTCCTTAGTAGGCTTTCACTCATTGCCAGCTCCCAACCGCCTTCCCGTACTTGACCGTAATCTTGAGTATCAACCATGACAACTCCCTGTGAAACCTCTCATGCTTACCAATCTCTACCTTTCTTACTCCTTATTGCCTCCTTGACATTGCCCATCATATGGTTTCTTCTGGCCCTCTCGTTCTCTCTTATCCATTCTGCCCTGCTCCCGCCCGCCTAATTTCAGCCACAGTTGAATTTCATCACGTGTTGCAATTAGGGATTATAAGGCAATTTGGCAGTCTCTGGGCCTCGTCAAAGCAGATGATACCTACGCGGATGACGGATGATTGGAGTCCGTACGGCGATTACGTACCCGAGTAGCATCGCCACCCCCGATTGGCATCAGGCCCCCCATCTTTAGAACTTTGTCGGAGGTTCCCTAGTCAAATTCGTTCTCTCTTTGCTTGACTTCGTTCGAACCACTTTCTTACCGCCTATAATTGCCTAGCATTAACGATTGGAATGACTGCTTTCTGCTTGTTCACATTTATTTTCATGTCGTTTCATCTCCGAAATGCTTCGCAGGCATTTACTTATAGTGTCTTATGTGGTCTTCTATTCTTCTCTGCTTGCACCAACAACGTCTTCACCACCTGAAATAATTCTGAGGAATATCTCCCACAGCGTACCATGCTTTTCGATAGTTTCCAGCAGTTTAGTATAGTGCCGCACGCTCATACATACGCCCTAGGCGCCGCCTCTTTCGGGGTCCTACGCCATCAGATTGACTCCATTGCTTTCGTCCACTTCCCTTAACGGTCACTTCTATCCTGAACTTTTCGTCCCCTACGTGCAGGCGCTAGCTACTGTCGTGCCTCGATATTGTGGACGTCTATCACCGATTTATCTCATGCCATGTCAAGGCCATCCTCTTATTTAACAGGTTCTCGTCAAATTCCAAGCGTATCTTTGAAATTACACTAGCGACACTCACCTAATTCCGGTAGGCGAATGCCTTTCTGGCTTATGCCAATCTCCAGGCTCACTTTCACGCCGACACGCCATCGCTCCTATGGTCAATATTTCCATATTTGTTGTTGGTGCTGTTCTCCACCAACATCCCGCAGATTCCGCCTTGCCCTTGGCTTTCTTCTTAAGGAAACTATCCAGGACCGAGTCTCGTCAAACACATTCGAGTTAAAATTCTTCATTTTCGCGAAAGGTGTGGATTTCGCAATCCCCATTAACCACTGGCCGCTCGCATTTGCTTTGCGCTCTTTTCAGGGGAAACGAACTTGCGGTAGGTCAGCAGCTTGGAATAAATTTTCCATTCCAGCTCTGATATTCACCATATTGACTGCTCAAGGAATGGGGTGGATGGTGCTCTGTCCGGCACTTAATCACCAATCGTCAGCTCTCGCGGTGATGATCTCACTGAGATGACTGTCCAACAATGCAGACCTGTAAAAAGCATGAACGCACGACTCCTGGGACAATAAGTGTACTGATCTGAGCCCTTGGACTCGTTATCCCAAAGAATGAGCGCGCAAAAGTATGCGGCAGTTTTGTGGTCGAACAACGAAGAAAGGATCAGAGGTGAAGGTGGAGGGTTGTGATAGAGATAAGGCTGGGTGCACATGGTATCACGGCGTGCGTCCTTGGCTGGGAACTGGACGACATTTTTGACAAAGTGAGTATGACGCGTGATGGAAGGGGATATATGAAAGTGTTGATTGGGAGAGTGGGTGTCCGACACTCAAATCTCCCCCTCCGTCATATTGCCGGTCTGCGCCATTATCTCCTTGATTGTAAAATTCGGCTCGCAGACTTCGTCTAGGATGTAGGAAACGAGTCGGGACAATGGACCGCCTCTCCGAATTGCCCATTTGTGCTCGCTTATTCGCCAGCGCTGTCGTCGCCCGGTCTAGCCTGTATAAATACGAGGACGGTCATGACATGGGATCTGGTGAAATACATCAGATTTAATACCTGTGTCCAGTCGATCCATCATCTGCATGA